GAGCCTGGTCTCTGTCTAGACAGCCCTGTCTCATCTTAGGACCAGCCGTATCTCTTTTTCCAGAATAGAGAATCTGGCACTAACCTCACTCCAGGCATTTTTAAGAGGGTTTTAAACTCAGGTTCTGTCTTGCTGGAGTCACTGTGGAAAAAAAGAAATAATGGGACATGCCATTTTTAGGGAACTCTATGAGAGAAATAAACCCAGGATGTAGCCGCAAACTCACAGGTAGAATCAGATAGAAATGAAATTATAACTAAATAAATGCACCTATGTAAATGTAAGGGGTTAGGGACTGAGGGTGTAGCTCAATTGTAGAGCACTTGCCTCATATGCATGAGGCCCTGGGTTCAAGTTTCAGCACAGTAATAAATACATAAATAAGTAATAATAAATAAAAATGTAAGGCATTGGTAAAACAGCATATCTGATCTCTGTTTATATGTTAACAGGAAAGGGAAGGTGGCTAGTCAATTTGTGTGTGTGTGTGTGTGTGTGTGTGTGTATGTATGTGTGTATCAGGGATTGAACTCAGGGGCATTCAACCACTGAGCCACATCCCCAGTACTATATTGTATTTTATTTAGCAACAGGGTCTCACTGAGTTGCTTAGCACTTCACTTTTTGTTGAGGCTGTCTTTGAACTTGTGATCCTCCTGTCTCAGCCTCCCAAGCTGTTGGGATTACAAGCGTGTGCCACTGCGCCTGGCCAGCTAGTCAAATTTTGATTTAGGAGTTGAGGTTGCTCAGTGGTAGAGCACTCGCCTAGCATGTGCGAGACCGTGGGTTCGATCCTCAGCACCACATAAAAATAAATAAATAATATAAAGGTATTGTGTCCAACTACAACTAAAAAAAATAAAAATATTAAAAAATTTTGGGCTGGGGATGTGGCTCAAGTGGTAGCGTGCTCTCCTGGCATGCGTGCGGCCCGGGTTCAATCCTCAGCACCACATACAAACAAAGATGCTGTGTCCGCCAAATACTGAAAAATAAATATTAAAGTTCTCTCTCTCTCTCCCTCTTTAAAAAAAAAATTTTTTTTTGACTTAATGTGACTTTGAAATTTGGAAAAGGTTAAAAAAATGATCAAGTGAAAGTAATGAATAGCCACCGTGAAATTTCAAATGGAACTTGGCATTTTTATCTGTTTTGCCTTTTGAGACAGATTTTTAAAAAATATCCTTGCTGGGGATTGAGCCCAGGGATTTTCACATAGTAGGCAAGCACTCTACACAAGCTATACATTTAGCCTCTGGATAGACTTTTCAATCGAGATATAATTGACATACCATAAATTTCACCATTCTACAGTGTTCAACTCAGTTCATATTCACAAAGTTGTGCAACTTCACAGTATTTAAAATTAGAATATTTTATCACCCCCAAAGAAATCCTGTACTGCTGGGCACAGTGGTGCATGCCTGTAGTCTTTGCAACTCAGGAGGCTGGGGCAGTAGGAGGATCACAAGTTCCAGACCACCCTCAGCAATTTAGTGAGGCCCTAAGCAACCTAGTGAGATCCGGTCTCAAAATCTAAAAATAAAAGTAAAAAGAGCTGGGTTTATGGCTCAGTGATAAAGCACCCTTGGGATCAATCCCCAGTACCAAACCAAACAAAAACCACCCTGTACCTATTAGCAGTGGGACCAAAATTTTTATTTATTTATTTATTGGTACCAGGAATCAAATCCAGGGGTGCTTTACCATTAAGCTACATCCCCAGCCCTTTTTATTTTATTTTTTTAAATTTTAAAACAGGGTTTCTCTAAGGCATAAGGGCTTTGCTAAGTTGCTGAGGCTAGTCTTGAACTTGTGATCCTCTTGCTTCAGCCTCCTAAATGGCTGGGATTACAGGCATGTGCCATTATGCCTGACTTGAAATTTTCAAAATGTCAAATATAGACCAGGGAAAGAAAGCAGTAAATCTTACTTTTGGTTTGATTAGGGTTTTGGTGGTGTTTAAATATGTTACAGGGGGCTGGGGATGTGGCTCAAGCGGTAGCGCGCTCGCCTGGCATGCGTGTGGCCCGGGTTCGATCCTCAGCACCACATACAAACAAAGATGTTGTGTCCGCCAAATACTGAAAAATAAATATTTTTAAAAAATAAATAAATATGTTACAGACAAAAAGGTCTGACATCATTACAGTATCTCAACCAAGTATAGTATGTAGCCATAAGTGTCTGATATGGTAATCCACATCATCTGCTTTTGAAATTCTTCAACAGCAACACACTACCTTAGGACAGCTCATTTCTCATTTCTCCTTTCCTTTCCTTTCCTTTCCTTTCCTTTCCTTTCCTTTCCTTTCCTTTCCTTTCCTTTTCTTTTCTTTTCTTTTCTTTTCTTTTCTTTCTTTTCTTTTTTCTTTTCTTTTCTTTTCTGTACCAGGGCTGCTGGGATTACAGGTGTGCTCCACTGCGCCCAGCATCATCTCTTCCCATATGAGGGGTCAGGAAACAAGAGGCAGAAAGTCAGAGGTAGAGAGAAAAGAAGAAAGAGTTCCTTTCCCAGGACCTACCCCATTAAGAGAAAGTCACCAGACCTGTCTGATCAGAGAAATCAGGTCACCTCCAGAGCTGAGAGGAGTCACCTGCCCTAGCACAGAGTCTCTGTCAGGTTTGGAACCTTGAAACCCAACACACCACCAGGAAAGGAGGGGAGATAATAGGGAACCCAAAAGGCATCAGAATGTCCTGAAGCATCCCCTGTAGGATTAGGAACTGTGACAAGAGCCCTTCAGTTTTAAGTCCCCTGAGTGTGGCCAAATTTGGACTCTGGGGAACCTAATGAGGCTGGACTGAGTTCCCTCATTCTGCCAGGTGGAGGAGTAAAGCCTGCTGTCAGGCCTGCCTTTCTGGGGGGCCCAGCAAACAAGCAAGCAAGCAGTCAGTTTTGGATTAAAACTGCTCTTCAGTGCTGGTCCTGGATGATTATTCTGCTTTGGGCTCAGAATGCTGGAGAAACCCTAAACTCATTGATTCTAGAAGGATTAATAGCTAACATTTGTTGAGCACATATCCTGAGCTATTTACATGCATTTCTTTTCTCAAACTTCACAGCAACTCTAAGAGGAAAGTACTGTTTTTTTTTTTTTTTTTTTTTTTTTTTTTTTTTTTTTTGTACCAGGATTGAACTCAGGGGCACTCAACCACTGAGCACATCCCCAGTCCTATTTTGTATTTTATTTAGAGACAGCCTCTCACTGAGTTGCTAAGTGCCTCACCATTGCTGAGGCTGGCTTTGAACTCGCTACCTTTCTGATTCAGCCTCCAGAGAAAGTACCGTTTTTTAATCACTATCCCGCAATGAGGGCCAAAAGGCAAACAAGGTCACCAGGCTTGGGCAAGGCGAGATGGGAGCCAAACCCAGGCAGTTTCACTCCAGAAGCCCACGTTTTCACTTTTATCGGTTGGAGAGCCTTTAGTTCAAGACTCTTATGGTACAGAAGGGAAACTGAGGCCCACACAAGTATACTGGCTTTTCCAAAGTGGCAAAGCCAATCAGGGACACAATCCAAGTCTCCAGGCGACCGGTTCAGAGATGCCTCTCAAGTGTGATGGGGGCGACCTGGGGATTTGTTCCAGCCCACCCAGCTACCCAGCCTGGCCCAGGCACAGCCAGGTGAGCGGATGACTCAAAGGGCGGGGACTACGTTTTGCGCACGGCCTCGCCCGGTTCCGCTGCTCTGAGGAAGCCGAGCTCTCGGCCCAGGCGGGTAGTAACTTGTCTGAGTGAAACCGGGAAAGCGCAGCCCCGGGCACTTGGCGGGCGGCTGGGAAGTCGCTCGTCAGTCAGCTCGTCCAGCGTCTGCGGAGTAGGATCCGCTCCTGCAGCACTTGCTGCAAGTGCGCCGCGGCTCACTCCGGGGTTGGCCAGGCGCGTCCCGGGGGCGGGACCATGGGTAGATCCCTCCTGCGATTGGTGGGAGCGACCCCAGGCCCCGCCTCCAGTCTCCGGCCGGGACGGAGGGTCGGAGCTCCGCTGCCGCGGAGTGCGGCGTGTTGCTGCCTGCTCGGGTAGGAGGCCGGGGTTAGGCTGGCCGGGCTCCCCGCGGCCCTTCCTACCCAGCTAGCCCCTGCTCCCCGCCCGCTCATCTCCTTTTGTCCCCATCTCCATACGCTGGGGGTGGGGGTCGTTCCCTTTTTAGGTCTAGGTTTTTAATGCCTCAGACCGTGCCTGCCTCAGATCGTGCACCCCTTGGCTCAAATCTGATCATTTGATGGAACTGTTTGCCGCTTTCTTGTCTGGGGTACTTAGTGCCACTCAATGAAGCGTATCCCTGCGGCGCTGTCCTCACACCTCACACCTGAGACCTCACTGGTTTCCGGCTCCCCTAGATCCGAGCTTTTCTTTGCCCTGCCCCGCAGCACCATTCAGCTTCTCAGCCGGGCAGAGGAGCCTCAGCGCCTCAGTAGCTCTCACCTGACTCTCCTGGGACCAGACCAGTCTGGGGCCCCTCTGTCAGAGAGAGCTGGACCCCGCCTGTCACCTAGTTTCACCAGCCCCACGGGGAGCCAGCCCCAGGGGAGGTCAGGCCCCAACCCAGAAGTCCAAAGTCATTCCCTCTCCCAGCCCATGGCCAATGACTGGAAAAGACTGAAGGAGTGTCACAGGAACTTTATTGAGAGGAAACAGGGTCACACCCAGCAGACATGCTTTCCCTCATTCTCTCTCTCTCTCTCTCTCTCTCTCACACACACACACACACACACACACACACACTCTCTCTCTCTCTCTCTCCTCTCTCTCTCATCTCCAGCCTCTGCCACACAGTCCATCCTCAGTCACCAGGGGTGGGACACTCCTCAATTCCTAATAGACAGCAGGAGGGTGGGTAGCCCAGTCAGGGGCAGAGACGGGAGGAAAGGGGGTGCAGAGAGCAGGGGTGGGTGGGACCACCTGCGGTTAGGAGCACCTGACAGCTGCATGCAGAGTGGGATCCCCAGCCCAGGGTGGGCTCAGCTCCACTGCTCCCCTCCAAGGCTTTCGGAATTGGAGCAGAGCATTGGGAAGGGTCTGGGAAGACAGGGCCTCCCGCCCCATACTAGTCCTCTTGGAGGGCTGGGGACTGGAGGGCAGGGCTGCAGGTGGGCGACTGGCAGGCTCAGCTCTGGGGCTCCTCAGGAGCCTCCCCACCCTCTTCCCCGGCGTTGTCGGCTGTCCAGAGGGTCAAGTTGTCTCGCAGCAGCTGCATGATGAGGGTGCTGTCTTTGTAGGAGTCCTCGCTGAGGGTGTGCAGGTCAGCCATGGCCTCGTCAAAAGTGGTCTTGGCCAGCGTGATGGCTTCCTCGGGGCTGTTGGCAATCTCGTAGTGGAAGACGGAAAAGTTCAGGGCCAGGCCCAGACGGATGGGGTTGGTGGGCGGCATCTCCTTCTTGCTGATGTCCATGGCCTCCTGGTAGGCTGACCGGGCAGAGTCGATGATGCGCTTCTTGTCGTCACCAGTGGCCACCTCGGCTAGGTAGCGGTAGTAGTCGCCCTTCATCTTCAGGTAGAAAACCCGGCTCTCCGCCTCCCCGGCCTCCTTGATAAGGTGGGAGTCCAGCAGGCCCAGCACGGTGTCGCACACACCCCGGAGCTCGGTCTCCACCTTCTCGCGGTACTCTCGCACCTCGGGGCCCTTCTCTTCCGAGCCTTCCTCGTTGCTCTTCTGCTCAATGCTGGACAGGACCCTCCAGGCAGCCCTCTGGCCGCCTACCACGTTCTTGTAGGCCACAGAGAGCAGGTTTCTCTCTTCACAGGAGAGCTCCTCACCCTTTTCCACGGCGCCCTTCATGAAGGCTGCCATGTCCTCATAGCGTTCAGCCTGCTCTGCCAGCTTGGCCTTCTGGATCAGACTGGCTCTCTCCATGGCTCTGGGGACAGACAGACTGGCGGCGAGTTAACTGGCTGCCTTGGGACCAATGCTGGACTCTGTGCCTCTCCGACTCTCGGTCTGCCTTTTGGCTGGGTGGCCTGGCCCAGGGTAGGGTGGGGAGGAGCAAGGGCGGGACTGGGGCCCAGGACCTCCCTCCTTCTCCTCTTCTCCCCACACCCTTTCCGGCTCTTCCTTAAAGGTAAAAGGGCTGGGATGTGTGAGTCATCAGGACAGTCAGGAGAAATGTAGGTGTGGGCTCCACCAGGGCAGGCACCTATGGGGGCTCCAGGCTGCCTCCTGCTGTTCAGGGTTGCAATGCAAGGGTACCCACATTAGGAAGTGGCCTGGATTCCCCAATCAGATTCTCCTTCTCAGCACCCTTCTAGGGGTAAGAATGGCTTCAGCTACCTGGCTACTTCAGCCTAGACAGAGTCCAGCAAGCCAGGAGCAGCAGAATGTGGATCCTTCCTTGGTTCAGGCTATATAGCTCATGTTTCCATAGAATCATAGTTTCCCAAGCACTTTCAAATCCCTGATCTAACTTAATTTCCCATTATGTCTATGTGCACAGGTCGGTGGAGATGGGAACACTAAGTCTCAGAGAGGGGCAAAATCTGCCCAAGGTCACACAGCTACCAGCTCCCTATATTGCTTCCCTCAACACCTTTCTTCCAGGCTTCTTCCTGAGTCTACCTAAACATCATTCCATCCCCTGGTCCTCATTCTCTCTCAAGGTCCCCTCTGAGCTCCCAGAATGCATAGGTAGCAGCTTTCAGGTTGCCACTTAAAGAAGAGTTTAACAAGTGGCCTCTGACGCTCCAGCCCAGCCTTTGTAATTAGTCACCCAGTAAGTTCCTTCAACACCTTCCCCATCACAGCACAATTTTCCCTTTCAAGTTGGTGGCCTGTTGCCACTTGTCTGAGGACTTACCCTCTGGCTCTCCATGCCAGGTCACCTGCCCCTTGAAGCTGCCTACTATCATGTATCAGCTGGGCTCACCAAGGGTGGGGGCCCAGCTGGTTGGCTGTCCCATTTTCCTGTCTGACTCAGACTGCCTTCTGTCAGAGGCTGGGAAGCAGGCCACCAAGGTGCTCAGTCCAGTTTGATCCCCCTGGGGGGGAACGCTAGCAACCTGGGGAGAGACGGGGCTGAGGCAAGGGAGATGGCTACAACACATATCATTTTGTTTTATGGGGCGGCAGTTCGAGCTGAGTGATGTCTCCCCCAAACCTGTCTTCCAGAAGTTTCCCTGTTCCTTCTCTTTGACCATGGCCCTATCTCTGACCCCTTGAAAGAGGCCTCAGAGATGGAGATTCCTCTGTTGCCAACCTTCTGTCGCTGCTAGTTGGTGGGGGGTGTCCTGTCTTCAAGTTTCATCAAGAATCAACTAAAAGTGCTGGCTCTGGGCCCATGAGGGTGGCTTCCTGCTTTTCTACCCTGCCCTACCCAAAGCTCAGAATGGCTCCGAGATGATACTCCCCTCTGGGATCCAGCTAGTTTGATCCTTGACCTGGGACCATTTCACAGGCCTGTGTCTCCCCCAGCTCCCCTGAGTATCTGAGCACTTTCTTTGCCCACTGGAGGCCCAGAACTCTGAAGAACTGAAGTTGAGATCTGCCTCTTTGCCACAAGAAAAAGTAAGGACTTATGTGGGCTAATATTGTAGAGTTTAAAAGAAAGCAGACGGGATTTTAGGCCTGACATCCTGAAGGATTTGCTCTAATCAGAGCACTGACAGAAAATGATGGAAAGTAGTTACATTAGAATACCACCTTATAGAGAGTGTCTTTAGGTAGAGAGACTCCCTGACTTTTTTTTCCCCATCATCTCCAACTTATTAATATGCCTTGTTTTCCATGAGACAGAGTAACCTGTATCTTTAGAATCAACTGCCTGAGTTCAGTTCTTACAAGTCGTGGTAACCTTGGCCAAGTGACAACCTTTGTAAGCCTCAGATCCTGTAGGTGTAAAGTGAATGGTCACAGCCCCTCAGCACTGCCTCCTCTCTCCATCTAGGCCACTCCTCTGGTCTCAGCAGGCCCTGGGCCCTCAAGGACCTTCTTTTGCACTAGTCATCGAGCCTGGGCTTCCCCAAGTCCTGGGGGAAACCTAGGGATCCCAAGACAATGGGAGCCTGTTAGGCCTAGGAATTTCAGAGTTTCTCCTAAATTAAGGAGGAATTCTCTTCCCACCGCTTCAGCCAGGGGGCCTGGTTCATATCACAGGTTCCATGCCTTCAGCATACCCAAGCAGAGGAAAGGAAGCCCTCTCATCCCCCTTCTCCTCTTTTGAGGCTCCAGGATGAATCTGGGAGTCAGGCTGCCTGACACCCCCTGCCAGCTCTGGCCTGTTGATCCTGACTCAGTTCCTGTCTGTTACCTCCTTTTGCCTCAGGCTTCCATTTCCCAAGTCCAGGAGCCCAGGCGGGCAGGAGGCAGCAGGCCCTGGCAGGGCACAAAGCTCCACATCAGCTGCCTGAGTCAGCAGGACAGGAGCTGGGGCTGCAGCCCAAGGGGGCCTTCCTCATCCTGCCTGCCACCTTCCCACCCTCCTGGAGCATCCCCAGGCCCATATTCAACCAGTCCTTTCTTAGCTGGCTTTGAAGTAACAGGCTCTGAAGAGCTGTGCTAGAGAGAAAGCAGCAGCCAGTTGCTATCTATCTTCACCGAGAAAAAAGATGGGGTTTTCTGTTTGCAACTAGGGGGACTTTGGCTAGCTTCCAGAAAGACCTTCAAAGTAAATTTGTCTGTTTTTGAAATGATCAAATTAAACAAGTGATCAGAGAAGGCTCTAGTACCTTCTCTTCCTGCTTAGTTGTGAATAAGAGTCCAGTTATGTAGGTAAGAGCTCTCTCTACTAGTTGCTTTCAGGAATGGATCCTAGATTACTTTTAAGTGATTCGACCATTCTCTTCAAGGTGCCGTGGCTCAGAGTACCCCACATCTCCAGTCTGGTCWAAGAGATAGTGTGGAATTTATGGAGAGAGACTGGAATGAGGTCAGGGTGTTGGACTGCATTCCAGCTCTGTTATAAGGCCTTAGCAGGTCCGTTCCTGCCCCTGGGCTTCAACTTTTCCCTCAGTTCAAGGAGGGAACCACCTCCAAACCCCCTGCAGAGTTTAGGGCTTCTCCAAGATTTCATCCATTCCTGGGGTATGCAGAAGGGTTAGCAGTTGGGGCAGAGACCAGGTTCCAAACCTGGATTTGCTGCTCTGTTAGCTGGATGACCTTAGGCAGCTCCTGCACCTTCCTGGAATCTCAATTCCCTCACCTGTAAAAAGGCTGACATCAGCTGGGCGCGGGTGGTATGCACCTATAATCCTAACTACTTGGAAGGCTGAGGCAGGTAGATCGAAAAGTTTGAGGCCAGCCTTAGCAACTTAGTGAGATCCTGTCTCAAAATGAAAAGTAAAATAAGGACTGGGGATGTAGCTCAGTGGTAAAACATCCCTGGGTTCCATCCCTAGTTCCAAAGATAAACAAAACAAAGGCTGACATCTTCTTGGGTTAAGGTGAGAAAATGGACCTGGAACTTGGCAAGCCCTTGCTAAATGGCAGCAGTAATTAGATTTTTATTTAATCTTTTTGGTACTGAGGATTGAACCCAGGAGCGCTTTACCACAGAGCTCCACCGAGAGCCCTTATTTTACTTTTTATTTTGACATAGGGCCTTGATAAATTGCAGCTGAGGCTGGCCTTGAACTTGTGATCCTCCTCCTGCCTCAGCCTCTGGAGTTGCTGGGATTACAGGCCTGTGCCACCACACCTGGTTTTTAGTTAATTAGTTTTTAGCTCCTGGTACAGTGTGCATGCCTGTGTGTGTCTCAATGTGGGATGGCAGCTGGGGAGAGGAAGGTTTCATGAGACTGTTACCCTGGGCTGGGCTCAGTTCAGGGGGTGTGGATCGCAGATTGGAGTTAACCCCTGTGTTGGTCAGGGCTGGGCCTTTCAGAGTTCAGAGGTCAACTAAAGCTCCAAGGTCTCTGGAATTGTGATGAGTTCTGGGGGGGCCAGTGCAGAGGCTATAGGCCACTTTCCCACTTCCCTCCTGGTTGTGTTGTGTTCCCTTTAACTCTCCTTAGCAGAGGTGACATGTTGGAGCAAAGCTGGGAGTGAGGGTCAGCCATGCTTGCATACCACCATGGACACGGCTGCAGACCCCAAAGTAAAAAGTGGCACCAGTCAAGGGTACAGCAAGAAGAGGGGAATCTTTATTTTGGTTATAAAAGGTCGCAGACAAGCAGCCCCCAGCCCTGGGCTCAGCTGATTTTCCCACACCTGGCCGGGTTTCCTTTAGGTCTTCTAAGGAACATGGCTCTGTGCAGAGCCAGCTCTATCCCTCAGCGCCTGGGGCAAAGGATACAGGCTCCTTGCATCCTACCTACTGGGGGAGGGGATGGGGCCGTGGGAACAATGTCAATCTGGTTGTGCTTAGAACAGTCACCAAACTTGTTCAGCAGCGTCATCAACACCCCAGACGGCTCCTTAAGAAACCTGCTCAGCTTGACGATGGCTATGCCTGATTTGGGGGGTGAGGGCTGTAAGGCAAGATTCCTGAAGAGTCTTGACACTTCACAAATCTGGGGAAGGGGAAGGAAGGGAGGAGGGTGGGAGAGTTTCAGCATCATGTTACAGGTATTGTGCTGACAGCTGCATTATGGCTTCCTACACTCTGGCCAGCATGGAGTGGGGGTGGGGCAAAGAGGCCAACCCCGGTCCCCTCTTGAGGGCCCTAGAGAGCACACACTGTAGGGCAGGCGGGGGCAGAGCCTATAGGCACAGATGGTGGCAGATGGGCCACAGGTTAGGCAGGTGGAGGTGCCGGGTGCCTGGCTCCCCCCAGGCCACTCCTGGAGAGGCAGAGAGCAGCGGTCCTCAGGAGGTCCTTAAGCCCCTGCACACACTGGAGATCCCAGGCAGGATGGCAAAGAAGGAGAAGAGAGAGGGTTAGCAGGGGATGGGAGGAGAGAGGTGACCTAAGGGGCCCACAGTGGGGATAGGGTCTG